TCTTTTTTAAAAAAAATTTATTTATTTATATTTTTGGCTGTGTTGGGTCTTTGTTTCTGTGCGAGGGCTTTCTCCAGTTGCGGCGAGCGGAGGCCACTCTTCATTGCGGTGTGCGGGCCTCTCACTGTCGTGGCCTCTCTTGTTGCGGAGCACAGGCTCCAGACACGCAGGCTCAGTAGTTGTGGCTCACGGGCCCAGTTGCTCCGTGGCATGTGGGATCTTCCCAAACCAGGGCTCGAACCCTTGTCCCTTGCATTGGCAGGCAGATTCTCAACCACTGCGCCACGAGGGAAGCCAAAAAAGTTTTTAATTTTGATGAACCCAATTTATCTACTTTTTCTTTCATTTCTTGTGCTTTTTTTCATATCTAAGAACCTACTGCATAATCCAAGTTCATGATTTACTGCAACATTTTCTTTTAAGAGTTTTTTAGTTTTACCTTTTACATTTAGGTCTTTGATCCATGTTGAGTTAATTTTTGCATATCGCATGAGGTAGGGGACATGTAATTTTAACTCCCACTCAGCCTGTTAATAATCGTGTACCCTTTGGTAAATTCTTGAACCTCTCTAAGTTTCAGTTTTCTCACTCGTAAAGTGGGAATAACAGATGGTACCGAAATCATACGGTTATAGTGAAGATAAAGAGAAAATTTACATAAAGCACGTAGCACAGGGCCTGAAGCAGCCTATGCTTAATAAACATGGTAGTTATTACTGTTATGAACAATGAGTGAATGCCTTCATAGTGGAGGTGCCAGAAAGATGGGCAGCATTTCTGAGACCGGGATCCGAGGAGGGAGAAGAGGCTTGCTTAGTCTATCTGGGGGAGCAGGTCTGGGATTGTTACAGGAATGTCTGCCCCCGGTAGATGGCTGCCTCATGATCACCTGTAGAGATTGGTAAACATTCTAATTCCCGGACACTGTCACAGAAGTACTGAAAGGACCCCCCTGGGTAGGGGGCCCCAGAATCTGCATTTGTGTCAACTTCTCCAGAGGCATACTTAAGTGTGCAGGGCTGCGGTACGGGTGACGGTGGTCGCTCCTGCAGCGCCGCCTTTGACCTGCGGGGGGCGGCCGAGGGGCCGGGGCGGTCAAGGCGGCTGCGCAGAGCCCTTCTCACGCGGGGGCCTCCCCGCCAGGTCCGCGCCGCTCAGCTGACAGCTCCGAAGACTGAAGAGGCGGTACGCTGGTTGAGCCGGGCGTCTCCAGGCGGAGCCGGCGAGCGGAGGTGAGGTGACCTGGAGCTAGGGTGGAGGGCGGAACTGGCGGGCCCGGCACGGCGGGGCAGCCGGAAGGTACGGTGGGGACTGCGCTCCGGGCGCGCGAGGCAGAGAAGGGCGGCCGGGCCGGGACTGCTCAGCGGGCTTCAGCTCCCCAGACCCGGGACTGGGCGCCCACAGCCCGGCCCGGCTAAGACCCACGGGGCGCTTAGAGGAGGAAGGGGAAGGTCCAGGCCGTGCTCCTTTGGGACGCCCCGGGCCGGCCCACACCCGTGCGGCGCCCTCCGTGTCCAAGCGCCGGGGCAGGTAGCAGGGCTCGGGCCTGTCCCCAAGTTGTAGGTGAGTCTCACAAACAAGGACTCCACACCCCGCGGTGAGCGGTGGAGACACTGGCAGCGGCGTGCTGACCCCGGAGCCAGGGCAGACCCCAGGGCTGGAGCCCGCACGGTGTGGCCTGGGAGTATGAGTAGGATTTTCCCAGGCCCAAGGGAAACCCGGAGGAGGAGGGGCCTTCCCTCCCTGATGTAGCGGTTTCCGGTTTGTCAAAAGTAATATTAAACTTGAATTCTCTCTTGTGTCGTGGCACCGGGGTTTATTCTCGTTCCCGTGTTACGGCTGAGGAAACAGGGTGGTCAGAATCCAGGTTTAGTTATGTATTAGCTGTGTGACTTTGGGCCAGCAAGGACTTAAAATGTCATTTTTCTCTGTATGATGGAAGTAGGGCCAGGACTTGCTCCATGGGGCTGTGGGAATGTAACGAGCTAATGCATTAAAAGGGCTTAGCACAATGCCTGACACACGGTAAGAGCTCCCTAAGTGACTGTTCTTACGGTTATTGTGACGACCGACCCAACCTGCTCCTAATGGGATGTGGCAATGCTGTCACTGAACCTTGATTCTAGTCCCCCATAAGAGCACACTGCATCTCACCCCAATTCAGTTCTCACTTTTTCCAGTGTCTAATGTAAGGCACTGCTAGATGCTGAGAACAATATACGCAGATGCAAAAGACTTGATCCTCACCCTTAAGGAGCTAATGCGGTCTGGTAGGAGGGGAAGTGCAAGTTCAGAGGAAGAACTGTAATGCAAGGTGGGTTGTGACAATGTCATAGGAAAGTTACAGTAGAAAAGTTTGCTGGATTTTTAAAGAAAAACATGATATCTAATTGGAAATTTTTACGTGGAATAGGGGCTTTGGATATTGGTCTTGAAAGCTGAATGGATAGAATCAGAAGGAAATCTAGGTCAGCGTTCTGAATTAAGGGACTGGGACCCAGTGGCAGCTTCAGAAGCTGGGGTCTGGTGGGGTAGGTCATGAGGAGCTGCCGATGGGAAACAGCTTGGAGTAGAGCTTAAGCCTGGCTGCTCATTAGAATCACGTCGAGAGCTTGGATAGCTACTGATACCTGATTGAATTGCTCTATGGTATAGCCTGAGTATTGGGATTTTAAAAGTAGCTTCTCAGGTGATTCTACCATGCAGACAAGGTAGAGAACACTAATCTAAAACCAGAAACTATAAATTCATCTCACCCCATTTATAATGTTTGAACAGGAAGAAACAAAAAGCTTAATTACATTATCACCATGTACTACACCTGGTAAAATTGTTTACAATTAAGTAATGTGAAAAGACAGTATAGTACATAGTAGTACTACTCAGTAAATGTAAATTAATCCTGAATTTCATTCTTAGCTTATTTGGGAGTCACACATCTGAGAATTTGGTTTTAAAGTTATGGTTTTATATCATATTTTTTGCATATAATATTAGGATGTTCATAGGATTCTCTAAAACCCATCTATGAACCACTCTCCCCTTCTCCTTCATTCCCAGTTAAGAAGCCTGGTAAAGCATTTAGAATAGGACTTAAAAGTGTGTGTGTGTGTGTGTGTGTGTGTGTGCGTGCTCGCTTTTATTGTTTTGTTTTTAAATATCCTGCTGTCATGCTTAAATTAACCTAATGTTGAGTGTCCCTGGCAGGATTAATTCATTAGCAGGCAAGAGGACAAACTGGAGGGGGATAGGAAGTGAAGGAATAGAGGAAGCAGAAGAGGAAAGGAAAAACAAAATCAAGAAAACCGCAGGAAGTCGTTTGTTATGGGAGCATGCTGTACTGTCCTCTCATATGACTTCGGTGTTTCTCCTCAGCTCCTCCTGGGGCTGAAGGCAGTCAGATAAGAAGGGCGCTCTTATTACTGGGGACATGCACATGTCCGTTCAACCACGTGCCTCAGGCTGACCTAGGAGAGTAATATGCAGCTGTAGATTAGGATTGACTGTGTGTTAGGATGTGTTTGATTTAAGTGATGGTAACGGAAATTCAGAATTTAAATTTGGAGAGGGTCCTAACACCATCTTTTGTATTTTTTTTCTGCAGTTGGCAGGATTTCTGTAGTATACCTAGTATGAGTTCCACATCTTGGCCTCTTATCCAGCTTCAGCAGTCTCATCTCCATCATCTGGAGAATAAATGAGATTTGCATGAGTTCCAAACTGAGCTGAAATACGGACTGCAATGCTAATATCCTTTTCTTCTGGTTGTTATTAACAGGTACTAACTGACCTCGAATAGAATATGTCACTGTGTCTTAGGGACACAGCTCAAGCAGAACTGTTATCATCTGCTGGAAAAACGTACTTTTTGAAAATGGAATCATTTTAAATGAATTTGTCTAAGTTTTGTAGTATCACCTTTTATAATGTGAAAAACCATGTCCTAACTTTTCAATTCTGTGCATTTCAGTTTAGAAAAATATTTCAGCCAAGAGGGAGCATATTTGCAAATGCAGTTATAGTCCAATATTTTAATTGATAGAATGGTAATTTTTGGTGGTTGTTTTATTAAAGTAATTTTCATAGATTCTCACTACATATTTTTTGCACATTTAAATTATCTGATAGTGTGGTGCATCTTTCAGTTGCTGTGATTAAAAAGCATTGTACAGTTTAATTGTAGCATATTTTCACTGTTGGTGTTACCTTAAAAAATGATAAATGTTACAATTGATTTGACAAAATTCATTATTGTTTCAAAAATTTAATGTTATTTTGCTACTTCCTCAGTTATCTGTCTTACGTAGTATCTGTCCCCGTAACATTCTCTAGAGTAGGGTGGTCTCAACTCGGAGCAATTTTCTTCCGCCTTCCCTGTGCAAGGGGGAGCTATTTGGCTGTGTCTGGCGATATTTGTGACTGTCACAACTCTTGAGGAAAAGGGGTGCTATTGGTATCTAGTAGGTTGAAGCCAGGGATGCTGATACACATCCTCTAACGCACAGGATAACCTCTCACAACAATTGTTTGTTCCAAAATGTCAGTAGCGCGGAGATTGAGAAAACCTGTCCTAGAGATTGCTGTGGATTTAAAAAATTCATTTATTTTTAAGCATATCAAGTATACTTTGACTACTTTTATGAGCAAGGCATTTTCCGAAGTTCAGTGGGCAAGTCAAACTAATTTGTGATTTTTTTGATTGTGCTTTTTTTCTTAAATCATACCTAACTGATAAAGTCAGCAATTAAAAGAACCACAACTGTCCTTTTTGGAAAAGGCTGTTACTGTTGCAGAGCTACTGGAATATTGGATATGCCTGTCATTTTTAGTTTGACAGAAAAGTGAGAATATTGATTAATTCTTTGCAGTTGTTTTTGAGGAACTTTCTTTTTGGGGGGTGTGCAGGGGGGCCGTGGACAGTGCCGCTAGACTTTTCCAAACTCTGCCTTTTCTGTTCTTAACTGACTTGAATGATTGTCTTCAGCTCCTCAGGAAATTAAATGTCGTCAGAAGACCGAGAAGCTCAGGAGGATGAATTGCTGGCCCTGGCGAGTATTTATGATGGAGATGAATTTAGAAAAGCAGAGTCTGTCCAAGGTGGAGAAACCAGGATCTATTTGGACTTACCACAAAATTTCAAGATATTTGTGAGCGGTTAGTTAATATTCTCTTAAACAGATTTTTCTAAATAAAGGTTATTCTCAGTGTCTTAGTGTACCCTAAATTATTTATCGTCTTGTGTTTATAGGCATTAGTGATATATGGTAGTATTACAGATTTAATGCCTCTTTCTCTTTTAATTGAAAATTGAGCTGGGGGTGAACAATGTTCAATTTGATTCTGCCTTTTTGATCACTGAATTAGGATATTATCCTACATATTTCATGCATCCTAATCGTCTTAACTAGCAGTTCTTAGCCATGAGTCATTGGCTGTTAAATAAGGATAAGAAAAGAGAAAATGAAATAATATATGTGAAAACACTTGGAAAGATTTAAAGTACCATGGCGGTTGTTAATACTATTTGGTTTCCAGAATCTTTTCAACCACCATAAACACATGACACCTGCTGCTACTCTGTGACCTTCTGCTTCAGAAAAAAGTTGAAAACTGGTACTTTTGATACCAATGTACCAGATGTCATCTGTGAACACTTTCTCAAAATGTTTCTACTATAAAGGCTTTGAGTAAACAAATTAAGTGTGATAACTGAAAATGAAACTTTGATTGTGAGAGTGTTGTGTGTTGTATCTTGCCCTCAAGAGATCCTTGTACTGGCACAAATTCTCCCAACTATGATTCATGGGTAGTTGGCACATGCTGGTCTAAGTAGGTCATGGCTCTTTGATAGAAATAAATGTCCTTTTCTCTAGATTGTGTCTTTAATCATCTACTGTAAACCAACAACAAAAGAAAACATTGTGTTATTACTTGTCGTTAGTGTTAGGAATTATACTCAAAAGTGTATACAAGAATAAGTTGTGTATCTTCATTTTAAATTTCATGATGCTTAGTAGATTTTTTTAAGGGCTTACAAGATTTTTTTTTTAAGGTGGCGGCTACGAAGTAACATTAGGGAATAGTAGGTGCTTTGGGGGAGGGTTTTTATCCCCTCAACTAAAGCATTACGTTTTTCTTGAGCACTGCTCAGTAACGGACACTCAAGTGTTGACCAACTGATCCTTTCTAATCTTTGTTTTTGGTTCAGGCAATTCAAATGAGTGTCTCCAGAATAGTGGCTTTGAATACGCCATTTGCTTTCTGCCTCCACTTGTGCTGAACTTTGAACTGCCACCAGATTATCCATCCTCCGCCCCACCTTCATTCACACTTAGTGGCAAATGGCTGTCACCAACTCAGGTTAGACCCGAAACTTAATTTCTCCTATCCATCTTTAGAAACTTAAAAATCATCTTTAATTGAACACTACCTTGATGATCTTGAATTCAGTGCATGAAGAACAAATGGGTTTGATTTTGTAATTTTTTTTCCCTTGCCTTCATGAATTGTAATGTTAATAACTTGAAAATGTTTGGTGTTTTAGAAAAGAATGGCGTAATTAGAATGATTAATCATTTTGAATTGCAGTAGGAGTAATTTTTAATCAAGTATATTGTTTCTCTCTTTGTCTTGTTATTTTCCTATTTAATCTGTATTGTAATGGATACTATAAGGTCCTCCTCATTTTCCTTAGATGTTGGTATTGCTTTTTATTTTTTTTAGTTTCTTATCCATTCCTTAAATGAAAGATTTAATTGTAGTTAGGAGGACTAAAATTGAGCTAATGTAGTTATAATAAATATTTCCTAAGAAAACGTAAGAGTGCTTTTATTTTTAAAAGTCTGTAAATTAATAACAGAGTTGTTGACTACTCTCACATAGGTGTGAATGCACACAAATAGAAATGTGTATGATTCCTGTAGATATCTCATTAAGGCTTGAGATCTTATATTATGATCTTCATTTCCTCTGGGTTGTATATCTTTTTCTAGGAACAACTTTAACTCTTGATTGAGACATAAATATGGCTTGAAGCTAATATAATGTATTCTGGGATAGACAATGGATCAGTAGCAGTTATTTTTCTAGAAGTCATGATGAAGATTGATAGGCTGATGTATTAAGACAAAAGCTGTCAGAGTTACTTGACCTCAAGGAACAGCTGTCAGTTTTTCCTTTTTGATCATGTAATTTTCATTCCCACCCCTGCTCATCACCAGTCTAATCTTTAGATGAGAGTGCTTTTGTAAAATTGAACTTAGAGTTTAAAAACAAAATTAAACTTTAAAAGAGAATAATACATGTAGAATAAAAAGGAATTTTACCTTACATTTTAATATCTGTGTCAGAGGCAACACATGCAAGACAGTGGATGATTTGCCCAAGAATATCAGAGATGTTTGACATTTAGATCACTGAGAGTTGACTGAATTATCTAGATATTTATAGTCCCATTTCTCTAGAGAGCTCTTGATACTTTATGTCCATGCATGTTTGCACATATACAGTTTCAGATTCCAGCCAAATAGCATCTACTTAATGCTGGCTTTTAGGGTGTGGGGAGAAGAGGGTTACTCATTATTTTGTGTTACACACACACAGCTAAAATTACAGTAGGGTTCCCTATCAGATTTCTGTCCTCCTTCCTTCAATTCTTGATTGTTACTGGGCCCTGATTCCTTGGCATCATGAATTTCACCTGTTGATAGTGAAGTTGATTCATGGACCTGTCCCTCACTGAATTTGGTTGGTAGATAGAAGTGGGTTTAGTTTTCTAGTATTTTCCATTATTCCTCTTCCAATATATATACACAATCTCTCTCATGCTCTTCTCTTTCTTCCTCCCATATTCCTCACATTTATGTACATCCCAGATGCCTCTTTTGAGAAGGGACTAGAGAAGAAAAGAGGATGGAGGAGAAGGGCTTCTTCACCGGGCTCGGTAGCTCAAACAATACTCACGAACAAGCCTCCCCTTTTAGTATTTATTACATTTTAAAGATTTCATCAGGTTTCTGGTTGATCATATAAGCATATTCATGCAAATGTATAAAAGCATTAGTTGTCCAATCTTGAAGTAGTCAGTAAGTGTTCAGTTTTGTGCCTGTATAGGGTTTAGTGAATAGCACTACGCAGCGTAAGGAAGAGAGAATGTGGTCCTTTTTCACTTGGTATTCAAATTTACAAAATTTATTTACATCTGGAAGGCTTATCTTTTGATGTTTACCTTAAAAAGAAAAGCTGCTTATGATTCCTGAGCTCTACTTTAAAATATTTTACATTTCTAATGGAAAATCTTCTTATAGTTGCCTTTCAAATTGAACAGACCAGTTTTTTTTGTTTTTTGGGTTTTTTTTTTGCGGTACATGGGCCTCTCACTGTCGTGGCCTCTCCCGTTGTGGAGCACAGGCTCCAGACGCGCAGGCTCAGCAGCCATGGCTCACGGGCCTAGCTGCTCCGCGGCATGTGGGATCTTCCCGGACTGGGGCATGAACCTGTGTCCCCTGCCTCGGCAGGCGGGCTCTCAACCTCTGCGCCACCAGGGAAGCCCGTGAACAGACCAGTTTTAAGGAGGGAAAGTCAAAAAAGTTTAAACTTTGGTTGCTTAGGTTAGGAAATGTGAGCTTTGCCTATGGCAGCCAAACCATGTTAAGGGCTTATAATCATGTCTGGGTTCAATATCAGCCTGCCTCCCTCTATTAGCCAGGATCTGGTGTAAGCCCAGCCTGCTTAGTTAAAATCAGCTTGTAAATCTGAATACCAAGGACTCTGAGGTTAGATTCTGTTAGTGATTCTTTCGCACGAGGTGGCTTCTTGATACAACTGAAAGAATTAATTTTAAGGTTTGGATGGTATTTTTTTTTTTTGGGTGGTATTTTTAAACTGTTCTTTTCCTAATCATTATTGTAGGGTACCTACAGGGCTAGGACTCTAGAAATAGTTCGTTTTAGAACTAGATCTCTTCTCCCACACGAGGTAGCAATACTAACGTGAAGAAAAATAAAGAACAGAAAAAGTCCCCCATTGCAGTGGCGCGTATGTAAACCTAGTTCTGCATCTGGTAGAGTCTTGCTGTTTCTCTTGTTTTAACGATACTTCTTTTAGCTTCTGACCTTGTGTTCTACTGTGGCTCGTGTTGCTGAATAGTTTAAGAAGTGCTTCGATAAGAACACTGATGCTGTTGTGCAGCACAGTTTATCACAGAAGGGAAAAATCATGTTAGGAAGTAGAAAACCCCGACTTAAAAAGATTTCAAGGGAAATCAGGAGTTGACAGCATCGTCATCTTTCCAAACTTACCAGCATCCTCATGTGTTCTCCCCTAGCTGTCTGCTCTCTGCAAGCACTTAGACAACCTGTGGGAAGAACACCGCGGCAGCGTGGTCCTGTTTGCCTGGATGCAGTTTCTTAAAGAAGAGACCTTAGCGTATCTGAATATTGTCTCTCCTTTTGAACTCAAGATGGGTTCTCAGAAAAAAGTTCAGAGGAGGATGGCTCAAGCTTCTTCCAACACAGAGCTAGATTTTGGAGGAGCTGCTGGATCTGATGTAGACCAAGCGGAAGTTGTGGACGAGAGAGCCGTGCAGGATGTGGAATCGTTGTCCAGTCTGATCCAGGAAATCTTGGACTTCGATCAGGCTCAACAGATAAAATGCTTTAATAGTAAATTGTTCCTGTGCAATATCTGCTTCTGTGAGAAGCTGGGTAGTGAGTGCATGTACTTCTTGGAGTGCAGGCATGTGTACTGCAAAGCCTGTCTCAAGGACTACTTTGAAATCCAGATCAGAGATGGCCAAGTTCAATGCCTCAACTGCCCAGAGCCCAAGTGCCCTTCAGTGGCCACTCCTGGTCAGGTAACTCTTTTACTCTGCTGACAGCTGCCCCCTAATTCTCTCTCACAAAGGGAGACAAGTTCTCAGGAACTTCTTGATAGGGCTCATCAGGGCAGTCTGAGGCCTGGGAGCCAGCCCACAAGTTGTTTCATTGTATCCATCAAGAATGCCATGATCAAAAAAAAAAAAAAAATGCCATGATCTTAGTTTAAGCAAATGTAAATGCTTCCTTTGCTGGCTTTGGAATGGGTGGTCCTCCGCAGGGATGAGCAGTTAAAAAAGTAAAGTAATTCTGGTGATTTACTCTGTATCTGCGTGGTGGGGGAAGTACTACCCTGTCTTTATGTGACCTTGGGATCTGGAGGGGTTATCTCTTAGAGTAGTTAACCAAATGTTTTACAGACTTTTAAAGACAGCCTGCTTGGTTTCCTTTTTTTTTTCAGTCAACCCCATTAAGGCATAAATGTACTCATTTAAAGTGTACCGTCTGCTTAGTTTTGATACCTGTAGACCCATGTAACCACCATCTCAGTCAAGATGTAGACCTTCCCTACTTGGTTTGATTTTGAAGGGGGAGTTTTAGTTTATGTGCCTCTGGTTTACACGAGCTTCCTAAGGATCTCCTCAGGGTCAGAACTGGTTGGGAAATCATCAGACCTATGATGTTTTATATTTCCCTCCAGGTCAAAGAGCTAGTGGAAGCAGAGTTATTTGCCCGTTATGACCGCCTTCTCCTCCAGTCTACCTTGGACCTGATGGCAGATGTGGTGTACTGCCCCCGCCCATCCTGCCAGCTGCCTGTGATGCAGGAGCCTGGCTGCACGATGGGCATCTGTTCCAGCTGCAATTTTGCCTTCTGTACTTTATGCAGATTGACCTACCATGGGGTTTCTCCATGTAAGGTGACTGCAGGTAGGTTGTAACTGTGTGAACTCAGTCTCCCAGCGCTCCACTCGCACCACCCCACCCCACCCCCACCCCCAATAAAAAGAGACATCACTTCAATTCTTCAGTTTGGAAGAATTGTGTTCTTCTGTGTTTGTTCAACACATACGTTTGAGTCAGTTACTGTCCTAGGTTCTGGGGATACAGCAGTGACCAAATGCCCTCATGGAACTTACATTCTAATGGGGGAGATAGGCAAACAAAATAAATAAGAATATTCGATGGTGGTAAATGCTGAAGAGGGAAAAAAAATAAAGCAGGGGCAGGCTATGAAGTGTTCTGAAGGGGAAGGGGCTTCGGATTTTATTTGGAAAAACCAGGGGAGGCCTCACTGGCAAAGTGGTTTGAGTAAAGACTTGAAGGAAGTAAGGAAGCAAGCCACGCAGATATTGGGGGGAGCATTCCAGGGAAGGAATGATAGGGTAATTTCTGTCTATGAATATGGAATAATGTAGATCCTGGTCGGCAGATGCAGAGCATCTAAGCTATCGCTCTTGTTTCCACGGTACACATGTTTGATCAGTCACTAAGTGCTTCCTCAGTGAGCCCAGGGAGGCCTCAGAATCTTCCTCAACACAGTGCTTCAGAAGGCCACCCTCTATTGAGGTAGTCACAGGAGGTAAAACCTGTTAGCCATTTCTGATCTAGATTAAAGTTTGAGGAATCAGGCCCTGGACATCAATTTGACTAGACTTTGGTGACTTAGTCTTTCTCAAACTAAAAGGGCTGATGATGATAGCTACTTCATAAGGTTATTGTAAGTTTGAAATGACCTATTGTAGTGCTACTTAAAGTTGTTATACTGGTCTGTGACAAGGTAAATACAGAAATTGAGAGTCAGTGTTTGAAACTTTAATAACGATTTTGCTATCGCTATTCACTGACTAAATTTTATGGCAGTCAAATCTAATAAAAATTTAGGCTTATATTTTTTGTCTTTTTACCCTCATTTTTCTAATAATTCATTTGATTATATTTTGCAAAAGTACTGGTCCTTGACAGAGTGAGGGAAAAAAACTGGTACTTAACCATAGTTTGAGAATGGGCCAATGTATGGAAAATGCAAAATGGTAACTATTTTTTTTTTTTTAGTTTGTGTATTTATTTATTTATTTAAATTATTGAAATATAGTTGATTTTAAATGTGTTAATTTCTGCTGCACAGCAAAGTGATTAAGTTATACATATGTATACATTCTTTTTTATATTCTTTTCCATTATGGTTTATCACAGGATATTGAATATAGTTCCCTGTGCTATACAGTGGGACCTTGTTATTTATCCATTCTATATAAATATAATAGTTTGCATCTGCTAACCCCAATCTCCCAATCCATCTCTCCCCCAGGCCCCCTCCCCCTTGGCAACCACAAGTCTGTTTTGTATGTCTGTGAGTCCGTTTTTGTTTTGTAGATAGGTTCATTTGTGTCATATTTTAGATTCCACATGTAAGTGATATTTTATGGTATTTGTCTTTATGACTTAGTTCACTTAGTATGATAATCTCTAAGTCCATCCATGTTGCTGCAAATGGCCTTATTTCATTCTTTTTTATGGCTGAGTAATATTCTGTTGTATCTATATACATACCACATCTTTATCCATTCCTCTGGCGATGGACATTTAGGTTGTTTCCATGTCTTGGCTATTGTAAATAGTGCTGCTGTGAACATAGGTATCTTTTTGAATTATAGTTTTGTCTGGATACATGCCCAGGAGTGGGATTGCTAGATCATATGGCAACTCTTTTAGTTTTTTGAGGAATCTCCATACAGTTTTCCATAGTGGCTACACCAATTTACATTCCCACCAACAATGTAGGGAGGTTCCCTTTTCTCCACACCCGCTCCAGCATTTGTTATTTGTAGACTTGTTTGTTATTTTGTTGGGTTTTTTTTGGCCTTGATGTGTGGCATGTGGGATCTTGGTTCCCTGGCCAGGGATTGATCCCGTGCCCCCTGCATTGGGAGCATGGAGCCTTAACCACTGGACTGCCAGGGAACTCCCCTGTAGACTCTTTTTTTCTTTTAAAGTTTAGTTTTTATTTTTATTTATTTATTTATTTTTATAAATTTATTTATTTATTATTTATTTTTGGCTGTGTTGGGTCTTTGTTGCTGCACATGGGCTTTCTCTAGTTGTGGCGAGCGGGGGCTACCCTTGGTCGCGGTGCACGGGCTTCTCATTGCAGTGGCTTCTCTTGTTGCAGAGCATGGGCTCTAGGGCGCGCGGAGCTTCAGTAGTTGAGGCTCACGGACTCTAGAGCAGAGGCTCAGTAGTTGTGGCACGTGGGCTTAGTTGCTCTGCGTCATGTGGGATCTTCCCAGACCAGGGCTTGAACCCGTGTCCCCTGCATTGGCAGGCGGATTCTTAACCACTGTGCCACCAGGGAAGTCCTCCCCTGTAGACTTTTTAGTGATGGCCATTCTGACTGGTGTGAGGTGGTACCTCATCGTAGTTTTGATTTGCATTTCTCTAATAGTTAGCAGTGATGAGCCTCTTTTTATATGTCTTTCAGTTATCTGGATGTCTTCTTTGAAGAAATGGCTATTTAGTTGTTTTGCCCATTTTTCCATTGAGTTGTTTGTTTGTTTTTTGTTGAGTTGTATGAGCTGTTTGTATATTTTGGAAATTTAGACCTTGTCGGTTACATCATTTGCAGATGTTTTTGCCCAGCCTATAGGTTGTCTTGTCATTTTGTTTATGGTTTCCTTTGCTGCACAGAAGCTTGTAAGTTAGATTAGGTCACATTTGTTTATTTTTGCTTTTATTTCTATTGCCTTGGTCAGGAAATGTTTTGCCTATGTTCTCTTCTAGAGGCTTTATGGTGTTATGTCTTATATTTAAGTCTTAAACCACAAAATGGTAACTAGTAATGCCAGTATTACTATAGTTATTAATTGTTAGCAGAGTGTCATTATCTCTAAGAAAGGACCCTGAGAGGAGAATGAGTAAATACAGTACTTCCAGTTGCCTATTGCAGAGTCTTGTAGTGGTTATAGGCAGATGGGATGGAGAACTCACCAGAATATAATGTTAGCCTTTACTTTAGACTTCTGTATCCTTATCATTGAGAGGCTGAAGTACATTTCAGGTGTTTCACAGTGTTTGGGGAAGAAATCAAAGATAGGCTTGGGGGCTTCAGCAAAATTACGAATCTCTTTCTCAGTCTCTATATCTATATATTTGATATTACCATACAAAATATATGATATACTAATAATTTTATTATTTTGAGGACATTAGAGCTGTAACCTTTGTCCTTAAGATGTCTAGGAACACAAAAACGCTTTGAATTAGTAGAGGAGATAAAAGTGCCAGGATAAAAAAATACATGTCTGCTACAGCTAAGTTGAAGTGATGGAGTCATGGGAATGAACAACACAGAGAAAGGATTCACAAGTGAAGCAAAAGTGCAGATAGAATTCTGCCCCTGAAGATGTCCACTGCATTTAGAGGGAAGATGTCCACCTCTAAATAATGTGAGGAAAGTAAATTAATAACATAGCTAGAACATTGTTGAGAGAGGTCTTTAGTTAATTGTGTTGAAAAATTAAGGTAATAGAATTGTGAGCAAAAGCCTTGTCTACAACTAAAGCCTTTGGAAATGGCTGCCCATTCCATTTGAGTTAAGTGATAAAGCAGTAGAAACCAGACTGAAGAGTATTAAGGGGAAAAGTTGACAGGAGGGACTTTTCATTTCCTGTGGGTGGTAAACTTTATTCACTGGCTTCTTTTTATGTACAGAATTGGACAGCTGGTCTTTGCCCTGATGCTTTTGTTTAATTTGGTAGGCCTGTTGTTATCAAATGGTGAACGATGCTGATTTAGTAGAAAATCAGCGTCTGTTTCAACCTTTGTGTCATTTCGATAAGTCAGTCTTAAACTGTACTACTAGTTGTACTAGTTGCACAAAAATATCAACAGTAATAAGTTAAAAGCAAAGGAAGAAGATAAGCTGTTATTCTGTCACCTTTAACAAGTCCAGCTTTTCTACTTGGAGGATTCCTGTCTGTTCTTTGTCTTTCATGCATGTGTAATTTTTACCTAGTTACAACCTAAATATGCTTTTTTCTGAATTCCATAATGAGTATTTTTTTTTTTTTTTTTTTTTCTGTGATACGTGGGCCTCTCACTGTTGTGGCCTCTCCCGTTGTGGAGCACAGGCTCCGGATGCGCAGGCCCAGCGGCCGTGGCTCACGGGCCCAGCCGCTCTGCGGCATGTGGGATCTTCCCGGGCCGGGGCACGACCCCGCGTCCCCTGCATCGGCAGGCGGAGTCTCAACCACTGCGCCACCAGGGAAGCCCCATAATGAGTATTTTAAGTGAGTTGTAGCCATCCTAATTAAAGTTTTAATAACTAAATATTATATCTTAAGTGGCTCCACACATAATTATTCCCTTGGACATTTAATTTGTTTGCCATTTTTATATGTAACTTTACTTTGGATTAATTCCTTATGATAAAATCCCAGGAATAGCATTACTGAGTAGTCAAAGGTTATGGCCAATTTTAATGGTTTTTAATCAGCATTACAAGTTGTATAAAAGTTAATTTTCCATTTCACTTTCTAGAGAAATTAATGGACTTACGAAATGAGTACCTGCAAGCAGATGAGGCCAATAAAAGATTTTTGGAACAGAGGTATGGTAAGAGGGTGATTCAGAAGGCACTGGAAGAGATGGAAAGTAAGGAGTGGCTAGAAAAGAACTCAAAGAGCTGCCCATGTTGTGGGACTCCCATCGAGGTAAAGGTTTGGGGACAGACATGGAGGCAAACCTAATTGCAAGCATATTACAATTTCCTCAAGAAGCCTTTTAATTTTGTGACTAATTAAGAAAACACATTTTGGTATTTATTAAGCTTTCTTAACTTGGAAGATGTAAATTTACTACTAAATATTGTTATTGACCTAAAATGTATGTAGACTTCCCATTTCAAAGTGCTTTCATACGGTGACAGTTGTTCTTATATAACCTTAAAATTGAGTGGGTTATAAAGAGGCCATACTCGAGCTACAGTCAACTCTTAACTCATCTACGTGACTAAAAAAAGAATCAAACCTGACTTCTCCTCCGAACTATATACCCTGGAATTTACTAGCTGTTTTACAGGTGCCCGCTTATGAAATGGAGACATCTGAGTCAAGATAGATAGATTACATCTACTGCTTCTTGACAAAATCTTAATATGTTTCAAAATTGAAATATGTCTTTGCATTTGATTCTGTTGTTCCAGTCCATCATATCTGAGCTGACCCTTGTGGTGATGCCCCAGTTACTCCATTAAGGAAACTGGCCTTCTATTTAACCACTTCTGACATGCCTCAGCTCTTATAGAATGGGGGACTTGGTACCAAATGTTTACTTAGATTTATGTAAAAAGTTTAAATCCCACATATTAAATCCAAACATTTTAATATTAATCTAACTATATGTTTCACTTATACATGTTTGGTTTGTATTTACTGTTTATCAGAAGAGGTTTTGCTAAGTATCTAATTGTAGGAACACCTGCTAAGTATTTTCTGTATTTTACTTGTAAGGCAAAAGAGTTAGGCATTCATAGTTATCATTGTGTGTTACCTGTGTATCTCCACCCTGCATTAGAAAAGGGAGAAGACAAGGAGAATGTTGTACCAAATCATTTTGTCACGTGCATTTCTCTTTTGCTTTTGTAGCCTTGATATTTTTCTGTCTTTCCCACCAGAAATTAGATGGATGTAACAAGATGACATGTACTGGCTGTATGCAGTATTTCTGCTGGATTTGCATGGGTTCTCTCTCCAGAGCAAACCCTTATAAACATTTCACTGATCCTGCTTCCGCATGTTTTAACAGGTACGTACACACAGAGCTCCTAGTCTCAGCAGTTTTGGGTACTTGGTTTGCGGACCATAAGCCCAGAAAGTTTTACTTCAGTACTTTGCTTATTTAGAGAATTCTCATATATTTTCCCCCATGAATGAATTTTCTTGAAAATGAGTTTTATGATGAAAATATACTATCTGGGGATTTTCTTTTATTTATTATCCTCCTCAACTTTTTTAGTGAAAATTTTGAAACATACAGAAAGGATAGGACTGTGATTAATAGGATACCTTCCACCAAAATGAGCAATTGGTAATATTTTGCCATATTTGTTTTCTAAATTTATTGCTGAACTACTTGACCCTAAGTTGGAAATATGATGCTTCATGTCTATATGGTTTTTTTTCTTTAATTAATTTATTTATTTTTGGCTCGTTAGGTCTTCGTTTCTGTGCGCAGGCTTTCTGTAGTTGCAGTGAGCAGGGACTACTCTTGGTTGCGGTGCGCGGGCTTCTCATTGCGGTGGCTTCTCTTGTTGCAGAGTACAGGCTCTAGGCTCATATGCCTCAGTAGTTGTGGCGCGTGGGCTCAGTAGTTGTGGCTCACGGGCTCTAGAGCTCAGGCCCAGTAGATGTGGCACACAGGCTTAGTTTCTCCGCGGCATGTGGGATCTTACTGGACCAAGGCTCAAACCTGTGTCCCCTGCATCGGCAGGTGGATTCTTAACCACTGTGCCACCAGGGAAGTCCCTCTATATGCTTTCACATGTCTTTCCTAAGATAAGAAAAGTCTTCTATATAACAACAGTACTGCAAAAAATTTAACAACAATGGCATACTATCATATAATAAAATATTTAAGACTTATCAACTATCCCTAAAAATATCTCTTGAAGCTGTTTTATTATACCAGGATCTAATCAAGTTCAATCACTTTATTTGGTTCTGTCTCTTTAGTTTCTTAATGGAGAAAAGTTTTGCCCACCTTCTTTTTGTTTGTTTGCTTGTTTGTGTTGAGGGGAACATCGACTTTTTGAGGAGTCCAGGCTGTTGTCCTGTATAACTTCTTACCTTCTGGAGTTTTGTTTCTCCATGGTACCTTTGAGTTTGTTTCTCTGTCCTCTCTCTTTCCCGTAAAGTGGAAGTTAGCTCTAGACTGGAGTTTGACTAGATTTAGAGTAACATTTTTGACAAGAATACTTAGTAAGGGGTGATGTACTTCATGTTGTACCACATCAGATCCATAATGTCAGGCTGTCTCACTGTTAGTATGATGCTCAGTTCTATCATTTGTTCCACTGTAAAGGTAAGGTTTCTCTTTTTGTTATTAGTAAGTGATCTGTGGGGTGATTCCTTGGCACAGTGTGAATATCTTGTTCTCCACCAGCTCCAATTTCAGCATCAGCTGATAATCTTTGTTAATAGACATCTGTGGAATACCTACAATCAATCATTGGTGTTATGAAACTATAAGATAAGTTGAAGAAACAGGCTCTTCCCATGAACCATTGGAAATATAGTGTTGAAAATTGCATGAATTTTAAGTAACATAAGGGGAGGAAAACAAATTGGCAACTGAAAAATATTCTATAGATGGAGAGTGCAAGGACAGTGAAGATGGAGAGGATGGAGTGATTAGCGTGTAATAAAGTTATAGTGTTTTGAAGGAGTTCAGCTTCTAGACTACCTGAATTTTCCAGTCTTGGCTTATTCCACATATTGTACACATTTAGTATGAGTTTAGTGGTACCCATCTCCCATTATTGTTTATGCTTGGTCCTAGAGAGTTGTCTGGATCCTTAAAAGGCCTGTTCCTATAAACTTTAAGGGACCCGTATTTCAGCCCTCCCCAGTGGAATGATTAAAGGAGAGGAAAAGATATACAAAGATGTTATCAGAAGAGTACAGAAAGTATATTTGAGAAAAGGAAAGGAATTATATTCAGTTTCTATCAGGTGTATTAAAATGTACCTTATTTTATGCTTCCAGGTTGTTCCATGTTGTGGATGTTAATGGAGATATTTGGGAAGATGAGGTTGAAGACTAGTTAACTTCTGCTGCTCAAGATACGGAAGTGGAATGGTTTGCCCTAACCTTCTGTCAAGTATACAGAGTGACTTCACAGGATATTTAGGGTACCATTGATTCCCTCTTCCTATGTAGAAGATATGGAAGAACAAGTTTGATATTTTCATGTGGTACTACTGATTAAGGCACATTCAGACATTTTTCATTGCAACATGATTGAGGAAATATTAAGCCAAAGGTTCCGAAAATGAAAACTAGAAAATATTAGTATTACAATGTGCCCAAAGCTTTAAGTAGTTAAAAATTAAATATTTATTTTCTTCTCCAAGCTTTAGGTAAGGAGAGAGGGGTCAAGAGTTAAACTTATAGTCCTTTTTATCTCTGAGAAACGTCCCTCTAAGACATTCTGTGGGAGCTCCCTCAGTAGTACTGCTTACAACTGGGGTGGGTAGAAGCCTTATTAAAATTGTACCGAAAGCCTGATGTTATTTACTCCATGTTACATTCTTTCCAACCTGAATTTCTGCTAAATTTTCTTTGGAGGAAGCCCTTTACTCTATAACTGATTGGATGGCCCAGTGTCATTTTGATCTGATTTTCAGAATAGAAATTTATAGATAATTTTTAAAATATTTTTCATACCACAAACACTGTGGGTCACCTGATTTATTTATTAGTGGTCTATAGTCCACTGGTTTTGAGCCAAGTCTAGAATTTATTGATACTGGCTCAGAAGAATTTCAGCCCTATTCAACTTTCCAGTTTTTTCTAGGCAGTAGAGCCTAGATTCAGAACGACTTGTCTTCTGTTCTGCATTCTTCCTGTTGACTCTTGCCCTGCTTTTCATTGGTAAGGACAATTTTAATATTAGCTCCAGCAGCTCATATTTCTATTTCCTCTGCTGGGATAGGAGAAAGCCTAATATGTTCCCAAGCCGAACAAGCTGAACTTTTTTTTTTTTTTTTTTTGCGGTACACGGGCCTTTCACTGTTGTGGCCTCTCCCATTGCGGAGCACAGGCTCCGGACACGCAGGCTCAGCGGCCATGGCTCACGGGCCCAGCCGCTCCGCGGCATGTGGGATCTTCCCGGACCGGGGCATGAACCTGTGTCCCCTGCATCGGCAGGCGGACTCTCAACCACTGCGCCACCAGGGAAGCCCGCAAGCTGAACTTTAATTATCTGCGTTTTGAGCACTGTACCACCATAGTTCCAGTCCTAACTTTCTAAATTCTTTTTAAAGGGCTTCTCTAATGAGCTATGGAAATTTGTCTTCCTATCCTTTTTTTTTTTTTTTTTTTTTTTTAGCAACAGCGCTGTTTCAGGGGATAATTTTGGCTTGATACCTAGATCCTTGTTTCTGGGTTTTGCTGGCTTTTTGAAAAATTGTCTTTCCTTGTGGTTTGGTGAGTGGCTTGGTAGCAAAATAAGATTTTTGGAAAAAAAGGACAGAGGAATTCATCTGCAGCTGTGAACATGTTCTTTTTTCATACCTTGTCATTGAAAATTGGTGAATCACTTTTAACCATTTTAAGTGTGTGTATCCAAAGAGCACGGACTGTTTCTGGATTGTCAATGAGGATGCTTAATCTTAAAAATAAAAATTATTTAAAAATTGTCTTATAATTAAAGCAGAGTTGCTGCTCTGTGTTCTGTCACCAAGGCAACTGATCACACTTAAAAACTATATGGTATATAACACATATTCTTAAAATGAGCAGAAGAAAGTCATAGTACAGTGCCTCCGCTTGTGACTGAACTTAGATTTTAGGACCCATATTTTGTTTGAACTACATGGACTTCGAGTCAGCACATTTAATATAAGAACGAAAGTTAACTTAAAGAATAAGTTGAAGATAAGAAATGGAAATTAAAACAACTAATTATACAGTACATACTTGAGAAGAGTGCTTCTTCTCAGTGACTGGATAGGAGTTCAATTCATCTTTCACTACTAGCCACTCAGAAGCTCTTTATTAGTTCATGGGCTAGTTGATGTTGCTAGAGATTATTTTATTTTAGGCTGTTGTACATTATGTTGATGTATTGGAAGTAGGAAAGAAGCCTTAGTTTCGTGAAACAAATGGCGTGGTTTTTCTCCATGATTTTAAAAAACACGTGGGCTTCGCTGGTGGCACAGTGGTTAAGAATCCGCCTGCCAATGCAGGGGACATGGGTTTGAGCCTTGGTCCGGGAAGATCCCACATGCCACGGAGCAACTAAGCCCATGAGCCACAACTACTGAGCCTGCAGCCTAGAGCCCGCGAGCCACAACTTCTGAGCCCACTCATCACAACTACTGAAGCCCATGCACCTAGAGCCCATGCTCTGCAACAAGAGAAGCCACCGCAATGAGAAGCCCGCACACCGCAACAAAGAGTAGCCCCCGCTCGCCGCAACTAGAGAAAGATTGTGCGCAGCAACGAAGACCCAATGCAGCCAAAAATAAATAAAATAAATAAATAAATAAATAACACAACAGGTCGTTAGTCTTAAAGATTTGTTTGTTCAACTGAGTGTTTCTTCCTTAGGTACAAAATCTTCACCCCTTAATTTTCACAAAGACAGTAGGGCTTATTTTTGAGGCATGAGTTACGAGCTAATTTTAAGATGGTATAGTTTTGGGTAGAGTACTTCTGTCTCTGAGTAAAATGGAAGATTGAGGTAACCCCTTATATGACCTGTGAAATAAATAGGTTTGTGGAATGTTGGTATTATCAAGAAAGTATATGAGAGAACAAAGAGTTTTCTGTATCTAGCTTCATTTCATGAAGGCCTTTTTTTCCCCCCAGCATTTAAAATTATTGTTTTATTTTAAAATTAACTTATTTTTGCCAATCTGTTAGGGCAAAATGGCACACAATTAAAAAATTTTTTGCACACATTAATTACTAATGAGTATAATTTTTGGAAATTTGAAATTTCATTTTATGAATTGCTGTTAATTTCCTTTGTTTTTTTTTTTTTAAGTTATTTATTTTTGGCTGTGTTGGGTCTTCGTTGCTGCGCTTGGGCTTTCTCTAGTTGTGGCGATCGGGGGCTACTCTTCGTTGCGGTGTGTGGGCTTCTCATTGCAGTGACTTCTCGTTGCGGAGCACAGGCTCTAGGCGCGGGCTTCGGTAGTTGTGGCACGTAGGCTCAGTAGTTGTGACTTGCGGGCTCTAGAGTGCAGGCTTAGTAGTTGTGGCGCATGGGCTTAGCTGTTATGCGGCATGTGAGATCTTCCTGCACCAGGGCTCGAACCCGTGTCCCCTGCATTGGCAGGCGGATTCTTAACCACTGTGCCACCAGGGAAGTCCCTGAAATTCTTTTTTGGTTGAGGTCTTTTTGTAGCTTTGAATCAGGTTTTTTTGAGAACACTGGCTGTCTCTGGAGTTTTAGGCTGTGTGCCTGTTATGGTCATTTTTCTGCTCAGCTTCATGAGGAAATCATTAAACACTGGACAAGTTGATTGGACTTGTGGGTCATCTGGACTCATGGAGGCTCTGCACTAGTGTGAGAGGATTAGCCTGCCACCTCAGCTAAATACTGAATCCAACGAGTGAGCATCTAGTGGCTACATCCCTTCCTGTTGAGGAGATGGGTAAGGGAGAAAACACTTGGCAGCCGTACTCCCAGACCTATAGCATTGTCAGCAAAGTCATTTTTTAGTACTAGAGGGTTCTCGTTTACATTAGAATTTCATTAATATACTTACTACTTTTTTGTTCATAGAAAAAAAATTGGAGTTAATCAAATATGATAATCATAAAGCCATTCATGTGGTTGCCTGCTTTAGAAGGGAATTTTAAAATTTTGACTGGAATTTTGGAGGGCCCACCAAGTATTAATTTTATCATAAGCACCACCAGCAGGTGGCAACAGTTCCCATGTTATAAATGCAATACCTGGTTATGACAGGAGTAGTACTTTGTTATAGAAGCAGGTTTATTTCTGGGATTTTAATTTTCCTCATTGTGTTTCATTATAGTCTGTTACACACCTTGGTAGGTAGAATAGCATCAAATGAGACAAGCAAGGCAGGAATAGCAGTATTACCAAAAACTGTAAGGCCACTTAAAACTATTTGAACCATAGGTGACATCCAATTGTGATGTGACATTAAAGTGTCACTCCTGATAGTAGCACTTGCCTGCAACCACTGAAGTAAAGAAATTAAGTTATAGCTGAAGCTGCTAAGTAAGACAAGGAATTGTAACACTGTGGTGCCCTCTCATACTGGTAAGAGTAGCCAAATAGTCTGTTCCCTGAACTTTGGCTCATTAAAAAAAACATCGGCCTGCAGACCAGTTTGAGAGTTTGTGGTCAGAAAGCTGTTTATGGTAATATCAACTTTGAGCACCCATAGTCTAGTCTTTGCACAATTATTCAGGTAGCCCAAAGACTTACCACTCCAAGTAGTCTCATACTTCTCAGAGCCAGGGGTTGCTTTGGAGAATATTGTGCACATTGAAAATTTAGTGAGATTCTGATGCCACAGTTGGTAAGTATAAACTCAGCACAGTTATTTCTTTTCCTTGGCTCTTTTTTATTTTTTTCATTGAATCAGCAAACTAAACTAATATTAATATAACCTAAATGCATATAAATTTAAAAGGTGATTGTGTATCTTATTTTCAATCCCGTTCCACTTCTTGTAACCTATTGTGTTTCCTAGTATTCATTTACTCATTTAACGAATATTTATTGAACACCTCACAGTGGGCCTTACTATTTTTCTAGGTGCTGAGAATGTAACAATGATTAAAGCAGGTATAAATCTCCCTGCCCTTGTAGAACTTAAATTCTGGTGGAAGGAGACAGACGCTAAGCAAATCATATGGTTTATCAGAAAATAAACACCACAGAGAGAAGTTGGGAGAAGGAATAGGGTGTTAGGGGAAGCAGAGTGATGTTGGAATCTTAAAGAGTGGAGAGGAGTTCATCAACATACCACTTGAACAAAGGCTTGGCAGTGTGGGAGTGAACCTTGTGGACACCTGTGAGAAGAGAGTTGAGGCAGAGGGAACAGCAGGGGCAAAGGCCCTTGGGATAGGAGCATGTCAGAGGGCTCCAGGAACAGTGTGGTAGCCAGTAAGGACTTAAGCAGGCTGAGGAAGGGAGAATTTTAAGAGGTGGGATGGGAGTGGGTGGTGCTACAGACTGCATAGGGCCTTGGGTGAACTTTGGCTTCTACTCTGCGATGGGAGCCTTCGGAGGACTTTGAGCAAAGTGTGATAGGGTCTGACTTAACGTTTCAGGGGAGCAGGGTGAGCAGGGACAGAAACAGACCAATTAGGAGACTACTGCAGTGACTCAGGTGAGAAGTACACATGGCTTGGACAAGTGTACCAGCACTTGGAGTCTTGACAAATGTTCAGATTCTGTACTTCCTTGAAGATAAAACTAATAGGATTTGCTGATAGATTGGATATACAATGTGAGAAGGTGAGGCATCAGAGTCGATTTCTAGGTCTTTTTGAATAGTTGAGATGAAGAAACCTATAGGTAGCAGAGGTTTGCCAGTGAAGATCAGGACTTGAGTCGTGGACAGATGAGTTTGAGATGTCTGATAGTTATTTCAGTGGAGATGTTCGGTAGGCAGTTGGATATTCTAGTCCA